CTGAGTCCCTATAAGAGGTATAATATGGTCTTTGCTTTTTCAGTCCCACTTGGAATTTTTTTAAATTAGATTCCTTTTTAATTAGATTGCTTTAATTCAGGAGTGATTGATTCTGCTCCCCTTCCAAGTCCTAGGCTGCTTCTGGCCTTTCAGTGTGCCAGTTCCGCAGGACCAGGACCAAAGCAAAACTGTATTAAAACAAATACAGCTGACATGGTTACTCTCCATGTATGTCATACTTCCCCTTCTGTCACATTAAAGTTACAATTTAGGGGCAACTTTGGGAGGCTTTGTGGGGACTATATTGAAGGCTTGGGGGGTAAGGCTTGTGTAGCCTTGGGATCCAAGCACGAGGGAAACTGTTGTAGCTCCAGTGTGTTCAGAGTTCATGTGTGACTGACTGCCTTGTAACTGGATCTTACCTAGAAATCTACTCCCATTTTGATTGTTCAAACAGAACTTTGCCAGAACTCTAAACTTACACTTCTGAGTAAAAATGGATAAATTTGGCCTGTAGGTTTCATGAGATGGCCAGTTTGGTGTAGTGGTTAAGGCATCAGGCTAGAAACCAGGAGACTGAGTTCTAGTCCCACCTTAGGCATGAAGCCAACTGGTCAGTCACTCTCTCTCAGCCCTAGGAAGCAGGCAATGGCAAACTACTTCCAAAACCTTGCCAAGAAAACGGCAGGACTTGTCCAGGCAGTTGCTGGGAGTCAACACTGACTTGAGGGCACAAAAATAAATAAATAAAAGGTTTCACGTAGTATTCATAAGCAGGAAGAACTGCTAGATAAGTTTTTAATAAGAAAACACTCAGGTGCTATAAAATTGGGAAATAAAAGCTTGCTATTTATTAATTTGTAAATTATAATTAATAATGTGCAAAATACATAATGAGCATCAGACTCATCTAATATCAGACATTGAATCTCACCAGCCTCTTCTATGCCAATCTTTTATGCTAGCTGGAAATTTATTGCCCAAAATATGTTCCCTTTGTAACTTCATAAAAAGCGTAGAGTGACTTAAATGCAGAACTGTTAGCCATTTGGTGCATGAAATCCAGGTACCTACCCCTCCCCTTAGCCCTTCTGATGTGAGGGGAGCATTCCAACTATAAATGGTCACTAGGAATCAGTGAATCTTCCTTAATCTTTCAATACTGATGACTGTAATATGCTCTCTGAACGAGGACCATGGATAACTTTAAAGTACCTGTGGTATCACTGACTGGCCCACATTATTCAGAAGTTATTTTTAAGGGCAGCCACATCATTTCAATTGGGAATTAGTAATATTTCACAGGCTGGCTTTCTGTAAGAGAACCATTCAAGTGGCAGACCCATAATGATGCAGGCCTGCCTCATCTATGTTAGGAACAGACTGAGTGCATAGATGCTGAAGAACAGCAAACCCTCCTCTTGTATGCCCTTGTTCTCACTGCAACACATTTTCCCTCAGCTTCTTTTCTCAAAGTGACCTTTAAATAAAGGCCTTCCTGGAGAAGCACCAAAGTTTCGACAGTGGAACACTAAATCCAAGTCCCCCCCCCTTAAATACACATACATACATAATAACATACCATTACTATTTTCACAGTGACCCACACAATATTTTCACGCAGCTGAAGATTTTGATTTCTTACAAATTGTATTCAGGATCTGTTTTCTGAAAATGAGGCTGAGTAGATACTTATACCTGATATCGATATTCTTTTAAGAATTCTTTCAGTCTTGTTGGTAAAGGAAGTTCCTGGATTTCATTTGTGTATCTGTTTATCGCTACTCTACACTGGTGCTGTAGCGATAGAGTTGAATGATAGAGAGGTTTATTCAAATAAAGATGGACTGTTCCATTGGAAGGTATTTCAGAGACCATTCTTCTATCTTTGCACATAAGGACATAATATTCAATCAGGTGAACCACACTGTCAAACTGCTGGAGTCTTGATCGGATACAGATAACAGAATCTAGACGGAATTTACCACCTTGAAATTCTATTCGTAAGTTGGTGGGACCTGCTGAGGTTTTGACTGAAATAGTAAGCAAATACTCTGAATGAGAGCTGTCTCTGACCAAGAAAGTCCCTTCAGATGTATCTTGTAATCTTTCCTTTGCTTCTGCAACACTCATGTTTCCCCAATACCATCCTAAGAGGAAACAAAATTAGTTAAGTATCTTCCCCATATTTTTGGACAAAATACCACTAGAAGCAGAGCGCATTTCAGTGCCAAGTAGTTGTCTGCACTGGAGAATTTTGAAAAAAGTTGTCGTAATCAATGCATCAGACCCCAATGATTCAAATCACTTAACACTAATACTTCCTGGGTGTCCCTGTCAGTTTCTCACTTCTACTTTCTGCTTTGTGAAATATGTATATGAGCCCCACAAGGTCAGAAAAGGTATCTTGCAAACTGAATCTTACATGCATTTATTTCAGGGTAAATCCCATTAAACTTCATAGGGTTTGTTTCTGAACCAATATACTTAGAATTGTACTGCAAAAGTGCTATACAGATATCAGCAGGATTTAAGGCTGCCCCATTTTGCAACACAGTCTTATTTTATTAACAGTTCTGCTAAATGAAAAACAAAATACTTCAGTCATCAAATATGGTGCTGATATATGAAACCGTGAGATTAGAAGAACAAGGCAAATTTTACATCCTAAAGAACCTAAAATCACTTTCTCTTAACCCAAAGCAAAGAACAGTAAGAGAGAAAATACCTTTTAATAACTAAACTAGCCTTTCCAATGTGCATTAAAATACAACTCCTAGGATCCCCTGACAGAACTGGATTCACTTTTTTTTTTTGCTATCTATAATACTGAAGTAACAGTTAATACTAATGTGTTCTTTGCTTTTGCAGGATAACCTGAAAATAAATATTTTTATTTATTTTAATAAATAAAAGTAAAAGAAAATAAATTTTCTCAGAGCTAAATACAACTATCAAGACCAAGTAGGAAAACTGTAGTGAAATAGTGACATTTTTTTTAAAAGTGTTATGTAAAAAATAAAAAATAAATAAAAAGCCTAGGGTGATGAAGCTAAAATGCTTTACAAAGAATTTTTATGAGAATTTCTGTTCACTTGCTCTTTTGAACAAATTTACCTGTTTCTATTAACAGCAGAGATGTTTTCCTAGAAGTCTTAAGTAACTCTAGATTTACTTCTAGGTCAGCCCTACATTTTACTAGTCCCTTAACTCTGAGGTGCTACTACTAGTGGGAGCAACAAGCTCAGGATTATACAATGCATCAGATAATGAACACGTAATTGCGTTGGCTAATCTGAAATGTGGAAATCCAAGAACGGAATGAAGTTGCAGCAGAGTGCTCCGACATGCATGTCAAGTCTGAGAAACAGTTCAACTTGTTCCTTCCTTCTTATTCCCAAAGGCTGAAACTATTATTATATTCCAGCAGGGAGGATTTTCTGCCTTCTTTCTGTGAATTACTTTAACTTGGGAATGATCACTAAATAAAAGTTGAAAACCCATCGCAGCTTCCAAACGCAAGAAACGAACGATGAATTTAAAACTAGTGTCATGGAACAACCTGTAGAAAAGTAGCTAACCCTGCCGCTTTCCGGGGAAGTAAAACATTCGTATTGCGGAATAAATCGCATTCAACCCATCGTCCCTCCACCCTCGAAGCGTGATCCTTCGAGTCGTTTCTGCAACCTCGTCCTCCAGTTCCAGATTCTGCAGGACACCCGCTTATGGGGCTCCACCTCTCCAAGATTCCCTGGCGAGTATCTTCATTTTCCCCCCACAACCTCATCAGCGCTGGGGGTGCTACACAACAGAATCACTCCAGTTCCTACGGACGTTGCAGGCAGGCAGGGGACCAGCCAACTATTTTTTCTTCCACGGGTCAATCCAACCTGGGATACTCATTCACACGTCCCCGTTCCCCAGCGGTTCCCACGCTTGGCTTACCCGCGCATCTCAACTCCCGCATGGCAGAGGCCAGACGCTCTCTTTCAGCAGGCTCCGCCGCGGCTCCTCCAGCCTCCCACTGGGGCCCAGTCCTGTCGGTGCCATCCGAGGATTCGGCCGAGCGCAGGGTCATTTGGGAGCAGACCACCGCGTGAGGAGGACAGCACGGAGCACCGTGCCCTTAACGGAGGTCCTGGCGGCCGTCCCGGCCCATCTGACTCCCGCCCGCAGCAACCTGGAGCTCTGCAAGAGAGGAGAGGAGAGAAGAACCGGGGCCCGTCGAAATCCGCCGCTCCGAACGCTTCCTGACAGAGCATCCCTCGGCAAGGAGAGCCTGTTTATTGCCGGGGGTGGGGGTGAAGGGCGCCCGCTTTTCTCTGCCTCCTCTCTATTGCCCTGACTTCCCCATTGCCCACGCGGGGGAACAGCTCCCGCCGGGAAAGCGCCTCACCTGGCCAGGGATTTCAAGGCTGGCTTACAGGCTACCTCCAAGGTGCACGCCTTCCTCCTCCCTTCCCGTGCACGCAGAGTGGCTGCTGTCTAGGAAATAATCGGTGGGCAGCCCTGGGGCGAAGAGTCGTGTGCACTCAGCCCAACTCTTACCTTCGGCCTCGCCAGCGAGCGCGGCAGAACCCAAAAGGACGGGATGCTGGTCTCTTTAGCGCGGCGCTTTTTAAACGGAGAGGCCGTGGGGAGGCTCGCTGCGGCGATCAGCCCTGCTTTTGTTGCAGAGCAAGGAGAGAGAGAGAGGAGAGAAGGAAGAGCCAACGAGAAGGGCAAGCGCTGCATCAGCTGCTTGAGGGCGAGAGGGCCGGCGGGGGGGCGGCTGGGCGCCTTGCTGGCGAGCTCAGGTTGTGCTCCGCGAGAGCTTCTCCTACAACCCGGGGCAGGAAATATTCATGTGACGCGTGGACGCCAAGCAAACAAGAGCGAGGAGCCGTGGCTGGCGGGAGAGATTTCTGCCTGGCGCGCGCCGATACCGAAACAACTCAGAAAGTGGGGTGACGCGGGCGCGTGTGTCATGACTGGGATTAATAATGGCGAGGCAGGCATTGCCCCCGTCTTTCCTCCTTTCCCATTTGAGGTAGGCTGAGCAAACTACTGCTCAGTGCGGGGGTGGGGGAAGAGGCAGGTTTCTCGTGCTTACAGGGAGATATCTGGCCCCCTCCTCCGCTTGCCCCCCTCCCCGAACACACTGCGAGCGATCTCGACGCTGCTTCGGGGTGCCCGGCCGTTTCCTCTCCCCGCGGCTTGTTTGCTCGCAACTCCAGGAACTGTGAAAATGCAAAGGCCGCTTTCCAAGAACTTTCCAGGAATCGCGTCACGTGACGGCCGGGCTCCCGCGCCTCCGCTTGAAATGGAGCTGCCGTGTTGCAGCCGCTCCTTCTTTCCTCGCTGACTCCCCCCGCGCCTTTCTTCGCCGGAGGGAGCTGGGGCGGCTGCACAAATAAACGGCCGTCGTCCTGACCAGGCGCCTCCGCCTCCGAAAAACGGGAAGGCGCCTCCGCCGAGCCTCTTTACGGAGCGACGCTGCTGGGTGCGCGGACGGCCCTTGCCGCTTAGGGCTGCGAGGAAGGTTCTGTGACGCTTGTTCCTCCGGGATAGAGAACGTGAGAAGGCGTTCGTCGCTCGTGGCGTGGGCACGCGAGGCCCAAGGGGACCTATTCTGGGAGGACGGACGAGGCTCTTGCATTTCGGTGCTGCCCGGCCGTCAGCGCCCGGGAGCGGTTTGCTGCCTCGTGCAGCGCGTCCTCAGCCGTTTCCGGACCACATGCAGTTAGCGGTCCTTCTAAGCAAACGATTAGGCCTGAAATAGCCTCGAAGATTGGTCGAACCCAAACTAGACTTGTCCACGGATGTTTCTGCTAATCCAGCATTTAGGTTAAGTTGTAGCTGTGTAAGAGGCCTTTTCAGGATTAAATCTGATGCTGACTGGAGATCCTGGCTACTCTTGACCAGAGAAGGAATGGGGTTAATGCATATTATTCCTATGACAAGGGGCTTGAAATGGGTAGCATTTCAAATGCGCAGTATGTATTTGGTTACTCAGTACAAGTGAATCCTGTTAAACACAGTGGAGCAACTATATAACCCAAAATAATAGGCTTGGGTGGTGATGACCAAGATTGATTGATGTTATCCTGCCTGATATTTCTGAGCAAAATTATTTTGTTTTGAAAATGATGTAAGGGGGTTATGGGAAACAATAATGATCCTCTGCTCTAAATACAGAGAAGGCAGTGGATGTATTTCCATGATCCTCATAGCCATGGTTAACAGGATCATAGTTACTCAATTATGGATTTGTATGACACGCTGAAAGATAAATTAACCACAAGAGCTACTTTGGGTAATGGGTTAAGCTAAAATGGTTGGGAACACAGCACCTGAAAATAAATAAATTAATAAAATAAATAAATAAATGGTGGATGTGCTTCATTTTCTAAGAATGCTTCTGTGACCATTTAGAGGCATATTTAGAAATAAAGATGGAGCTGGAGCATGACAATTTCTCTTTTAAAAAATGAAGATTTGTTTCTAAATATAAAAAAGCTAATGGGGCAGAGAGTCTGGTGGGTGCATAAGCACACTGATTTCATATTGGAGATACCAAGACTAGCACATATTTGTACATTTGCACATAAACTACTTTGGCTTATTAATCTTTTTGTCCTAGACTAACAAACTGATGTCCAGTGGCTTTAATTAGCATAAATGTGATTTTTGGATATAGTATCATAAGAAGCATGTTACACTAATCAAATGCAAACTCCACTATATAACATTTTGTTTGGGGACAAAATTCAAGTTTTTATTTTTATACAGTAATTATCTGCCTGTTTAAAGAAAAATTGCAGTAATCAATAGGGTTGACTCTGTAGTGTGATTAGTATTGAACATTTAAATAACTTTATAAGCTGCGCTATGGATACTTAAAGGAATCTCTTTTGCTTTGTGTAGACTTCCTAATTTCTGTGATCTGGCACACATAAACTGCTGTGTGGCTGTCATGAAGACATGGTTCTCAGAGGCAATTGCCTGTTTAGGTTCACCACATCCGGGACCATGGGTCTTTTAAATGAATATCAGATACTTGTTTATTTAAATAAGCTTTTTGTGGTAAACATATTTAGTTTTATTGGCTGCTTTATTTATCTTTTTGTCTCTTTCAGATAGTTTTAAAGCTGATGTTTTAAATTATATTTTTATTTTATTTTTTGTCCTTTGACATGAGAATGGTTACTAAAAGGGGAAGCTATACATTTTCTAAATAAATAAAACTGTGCTTTTAAAATATTTCCCAGTGATTCTTTGAACTGTTCTGAGAAATTCTTCTGAATTTGTATTTCTATATGTCTACTTGAAATAACCTTTTGTAAATAAATATCTTGTCACTATTAAAATTAAAATTATTATTTATAGATAAATATAAATAAATAAACTGACCGACCGACCTGTGTAAGGGGAATGAATCCATTGCTGGAAGTGAATGTATTTAAATACTCTAGTTTGAGGTTGTTTTTCTTTTAATTTGTAGCATGTGAACTTGTTAATAACTGTTTAGAATGCAAATTGCAGTTTCAGTCTGCTCTTGATGTGTTTGCTTCTCAGAATCCTTTCTTTGATTTAAAGAAATATTTTCAGCTAGTTGTTACAAATGTTATTTATTATTTACTACATTTATATCCCATTGCAGTCCAATTAAGGAGTCCCAGTGCTTCACAAATATACATATATACAGTTAAAATGCCCACTCTAATTAAAAATAAAACACAGAAAAATAACAATAAAATAACAAATGGTGTAAACCCAAGTACTGTACAAAACAGTTTTGTTTTAAGCTGTTTGCAGAAGGCAGCAATAGTGGGACCCAATCTAATTTCAACTGGAAGGCCATCCCAAAGGGCCAGCAACACCCCTAAGAAGCAGCACCTCCTGGCCTCAGCACCCCCCCCCCATTTAAAGCAGGGACCACAAGTTATTTCTCCTCCAAAATTGTTTTTATTGGGCCAATTCTAGTTAAAGAATATAATTCTGAAAGTAACCTGGTGCCAATCCATATAGGGCTTTATAAATTAAAACCAGCACTTTAAAT